TCTGCGGGGCATGGCCTCCAAACAAACAAAACCAAACCAGTGCAGCAGTGTTCCAGTGTGATTTCTCAGTTTCAGTAATGGAGCATGGTTATGCAAGCTAAATAAGGGGAAACTGGGTACATGCAAAACTCTGTACTGTCTTTGCAGCTTTTCTATAAATCTAAAACTATTTGAAAATAAAAACTTATTAGGGAAAAAAGACAATGAAGAGATGACAGCCTTGGAGGGGACAATTCAACTGAAATAATGCCCCTTTTAAAAGGTAAAGGTAAAGGTAAAGGCCCTCCCGTTGATCGTCGATTTGCTCGAGCGGGCCCAGTAACGTCTCCATTGGAGACTTTGTTGTTACTGTGTCTGGCATATCGAATACTCTCGGTAGCTTGCCGGGCTCTCCGAGAGGGGCGGGGGAATCGAACTCGGGTCGGCCATGTTGGCCGCGTGTAAGGCGAACGCCCTACCCGCTGTGCTATCGCTCCAGCCCTTTTTAATACCTGATATTTATTTATTTATTTAATTTGCTTTTGGGGTCACACCTGGCGATGCACAGGAGTTACTCCTGGCAGTGCTCAGGGGACCATATGGGATGTTGGGAATCAAACCTGGGTCAGCCGTGTGCAAGGCAAACGCCCTATCCTCTGTGCTATCTCTCCAGCCCCTACCTGATAATTATTTTATAAATACTATTTGATGTAGTGTATTTATGTTTGTTTGTTTTCATTATTTCTCGCTTCGCTCATGGCTCTGTGCTCTGGCTATACTCTGAGCCCACCAGAAGTAATTCCTTCTGGCTGGCTCAGGAAACCATATGGGGTTCTGGCTATCAAATTTGGGTTGGCCATGTGCAAGGCAAGTGCCTTTCCACTCTACTATCTCTTAGGCTCCATGATGTTTATACATGATGATTTGTAGGGAAATTGGAAAATAGGGATTTAAAATGGTAAGCTAGCACAAATCACTGCCTGCCCCAAGATGGAATGTTATAAAATAAAGGTTGGGTTAAATGATGATATTCTTTATCAGAATCAACTTTCTATGCCAGTGAAATATTTTACATTGCTCCTTATTCCTTAAACTATTCACTGCTCCCATACTCGTGGGCTTTACACTATTTGTAGTGGTAGGAACAGTACTGCATTGTATTGGATAAAACTGTTTTGTGTGTATTTAGGATATTTCTTTCTTTTTTTTTTGGCTTTTTGAGTCACACCCGGCGATGCACAGGGGTTACTCCTGGATCTGCACTCAGGAATTACCCCTGGCAGTGCTCAAGGGACCATATGGGATGCTGGGAATCGAACCCAGTTCAGCCGTGTGCAAGGCAAACGCCCTACCGGCTGTGCTATCACTCCAGCCCCCCGGAATATTTATTTCTTAAAAACAGAAGTGTTGAGCCAGAGGGCCTATTGGTCTTAAAGCCTTTATTGTCCTTTGTAAGCCCCCTCTGTGATCCACAGCCCATCTCTGACCCTCCCAGCTTCTCACCCTTGCTTTTGGCATCTTTGTTGACTGGTTGGGGGGGTGGGGGGGGGCAGGAAACTTAAGGTGTTTGTTTTCACTGTATTTGGGAGTAGAGGGCACACCTGGAAGTGCTCCTGGCTTTGTGAGAATCGAACCTAGCTTGGCTGCCTGCATGGCAAGTGCCCTACCCGCTGTACAGTCTCTCTGGCCCCCGTTTTCATTGTGTTTTTGGGTGACTGGGGAGTCCTTTTCTCACGATACACTGTTTCTGTTCCAATTTTTATGGAATGGAACAGCCATTTGTCTGGGGTTTCCTGGTGCCTTTGCACACACCGTTTGCCCATTGCCTTCCTCAGCTGCCCTCATTGCTCTCTCTCTTTCCCCCACAGATCCTGAACCTGACGCAGGCCCTCAAGGACAACAAGAGCCCCCTGCACCTGGTGCAGATGCCGCCCGTGATCGTGGAGACGGCACGCTCGCACCAGCGCGCCAACTCCGAGTCCTACACGCAGAGCTTTCAGAGTCGGAAACCCTTCTTCTCGTGGTGGTAGCCCATAGGCCCCAGAGGCACCGACAGGGGAGGACGCCTGACAGCAGCCAGTGGCCAGCAAGGCCCGAGAGCAAAGAGCAATGCCCCTGAGAGCCCCTGGGCCTCAGCAGGCCCCAGGGGGCACCACCTGCGGGCGGGCGGGCTTGGGCCCTTCTGAGGGTACAGGAAACTTGGGGCTCTGGTCAGTAGTCCCAGTGCTGGGGAAGGACCACCTCTGCCAGCAGCCCCTGGGGCGGGCTGGGGACTTTCCTCTCCTCCCTGACACCCCACTGTTGCAATTCCTCCTTATATTCTGCATCAGAAACAAAACGTTTAAAAACTAGTAGCAACACGCAGGCAGGACCCCGGCTCTCCCATCAGAAGCCCCCGACCCAGACCTCTCTGTGCACAGCTGGGGATGTTCGGGTGCCTGCCCCTCACTCCAGTGGACAGGGCGGCGGGCAGGGTGGGCCAGGGCCACAGCTTTCCTTTGGGTCTTCGCCAAGTCCCTTTCCCCTTCCCTCCCACCAGTGCAATAGGTGGACAGACACTCCCTGCAAACATTTTTCCGAGGGGTGGGGGGCGGTCTTCTGCTCTAGAATTGACTCCCAGCAGCTCTGCTCGGATCCTTTTGCTAACTCTGCTCTGTGCTCTGCTGGGGCTTCTCTTGCCTAGCCCCTCTCAGAGTTCGGAGGCAGGATGCTGACTCCCCAGCAGGCTAAAAGCATCGGTGGCTGGAGTGTGCTGGGCGCATCCTTGTTTGGAGGGTTTATGTGCCCCAGACTTACTGCCTGAGGCCTTGCCCTGGACCAAGATAACATGCCCACTCCCTCCGCCTTCTCTCATCTCTAGCCTCTCAGTGTTTGCTGGGGCTCTGGTGGGGGTCTCAGCTCTTACAAGAGGACAGGATCTTAGTTCTTCCCCACTGCTGTCTGGTGGATGCTTCCTAAAGGGTGGCTTTCCTTTGCTCCCTGATTTCTTGGTCTGAGCCAGTGTCTCGAGGCATCTTGAGACAAGCAGGGCCCAAAGGAGAGAGGCCTTCTACCTAACCACCCCCCGCCCCGTGCCTGCTGCTCAGTGTGCATCTTCCTGCTTCATGGCGTGCCCCCTCAGCCATGCCCCTTGCCAGGTGTTTGAGCCCTTTCTACACCAAAGCGAAGAATGGCCTCAGGCGGGCATAGGGAGGTACTGCCTTGGCTCAGGGGCAGCCCTACTTTCTGGATACTGGACACTTGTCTGGAGCCGCGATTGGTCAATCAGCATTGAAGAAAGACTATCTTGAAGGTTCGAAAAACAACCAAAGAAAGGGAGCGAGGACCATGGCTGTGTGCCTGCCGCTTGCTCGGCACCTGCTGTTCAGGAGGTGGAGGCAGTGCCGCCCTCGCCCACAGTGCAGGCCTGTTCCTTCCATGCCAGGCCCCAGGAACGTGCATTCATGCACGCGCACACACATGCACACACACACACACTAAGGTCTCTGGGAGCGGGAGACGCACATTCAGACATATATGCTGTCTCTGGGAACGGGACACGCACACGCGCACACACACACACAGTGTCTCGGGTAGCAGCCCGCACACGCCCACCCTGTGCAAGAAGGTGCAGGTTGCCGCCTGGCTGACTGATGGTACTTTTCAGCAGCCTGTGCTCTAGCCGTGGGGCCAGTCTCCAGGTGTACCGCGGGAAGCAGCGGGGCTCTCCAAGGCCAGCTGGGGACCGCAGCCTGCTCTGTGCTCCATCAAGCTGGGATGTTCCCTGCTGGGGCTGGGGGCTGCCAGGACTGAAGAGGACCTGGTGGCTTCCCGGGCCCAGCCGACCTATAGTGCCCTTACCCAGACCTGCTCTTGTGATGGAAGGAGTCTGGATCGCGCTTTCCCTGGAGTCCATCCCAGTCTCAGCAGGCACAAGTACTGGCCTTCCATTCCTTCCTTCCCTGGTCCATCTCCCCTCTCCGTGAAGCCTGTACACGGGTTGCCTTGAATGGGGGCTTTGGGAGAGCCGGGGATCCAGAGTGCCAGGGCCAGAGCCTGGGTGGCAAGTGCCCCCAGCTGGGCCCAGCCTCTGCCAGCCAGAGTCCCTGCCCTGTGTCAGGGAGAAGAGGCGGGGCTGGCTCAGCCCCTCGGTATTGTTCTTATAATGCACTGTAGAATTGTATCCGGATCAATGCAATGTATGAATAACAAGCCCGATTCTGACTGCGGCTGTCTGGTTTTCTTGGGTGAAAGGAAGACAAGTCGAATGCAATTTATGGATAAAGAAGCCTGTGTTTCTGTGAAGTTGCCGCGCTCGGGCTCTGAGGATGGCTTCCCTCTGGTGGGGGAAGATACAGGCCCTCATTTCCATAGTCCTCATGCTCTGACAGCCAACACCTATTCTCATAACCGCAATTGAACCTCCAGCCATCATGACTCTATCTGTAATCAAGTCTCACTGAATATTTGGTGCAGGCGTTCACATCTGTTTCGTTATGCGATGTTCCTCAAAAATAGGAGTTATATAGGAAGTATTTGCGCTGGCAGCATTATAAAAAAGGGGGGAGAAAAATTCCAATTTCTAAAATGTAAGCCCAAGAGTTTAAAGGGTGTGGAGCAGCGTCTTCTCTGGGCCACAAGGGGGCAGCGCTGCTCGTGAGCACCACCTGCCTGGCGCACGCCTGGAGCGCCGGAAGCTGGGTGGTCCCGCCGATGGGACAGTGGGCGGAGAGGAAACCTATAGCTCCTCATCCCCAGGGCTCTGAGGCGCCAGGAACTGTGAAGTGGGCTCTCGGGTGATGAGTGCGGCCGGTGCTTCACCCCAGGTCAGGAAGAAGTTGGCTAAGGAGCTGATCCTCAGGACGTGGCCTGCAGCTCATCCACCTGGGGCCAGGGCACCCAGACCTGGCGGCCAGAGCACCACCCCCTCTGAGAGCTCTGGGACAGCACCCCTGGGAGCAGGACCACCTGGAGCCAGGGACTCAGGTGTGGTGAGCAGCCACGCCCCATCCCAGAGACCCCCACGGATACGCAGAGGCAGCGATGCTTCGTGTGTTTATTCTGCCATTCAAACCACTTGGACAGTGTCATGCAGTTTGGGATGCGCGTGTTTGTGTTGTGCGTGTGGAGTGGCTGCTGGCGCAGGGGGTGCCCAGGGGCAGGGGGCTCCAGTTGCGCTTGGCCCCCGCCTCCCACGGGGGAACGGCATGCACAAGGCCGGAGCGTTGGAGGGGAAGGGCGGAGGCAGGGGTGGGATCTCCCGTGGAGCCTCCCTTCCTGTTCTGGACAGCCCCTGGCAGTGGGCCCCCACGGACCCACAGCTGCTCTCTGCCTCTTCTCCCCTCCGGGGCCTCCCTGGGCCTCTTGGCGGAGTCCTTGGAATGCCTGGGAGAGACACAGCCGCCGCCCCCAGTGCCTGCTCGGGTCAGTGCCTGATCTGATGCAGGTAGCTGCTGGGGCTCGGCTTCCTCCAGTTCTGGCGGATCCTGGCACTCGACCTCCTGGAGTTCAGACACTGCTCGCCGGACGTCACTTCCGAGGCCCTGCTCTGTGGGTCAGCTGGTGAAGTGGGGGGCTCCGGAGCCCTGGAGGGAACAAGTGTATAAACAACATCAGCAGAAAGACACTGGGAGTAAGAGATTTTGGAACAAACAGACCAGCTCCGGGTCTCGCCAGTCCAAGAGCGGCTTGATGGGGCGGGACTTGGAGGAGTCTGAGAGACTTGGATTAGGTCAGGGGTGTGACGCCTAGGGGTCTCCCTGCCCTCCTCCACTCACGGCACCATCACCCACAGCTCCCCTGTGTCCTTAGCAGGCCAGGGTGACAGGCCAGCGGGGAGAAGGTGAGCAGCGACACGGATTTGCTCTCCCTGGATCCGATGCTCTCAGATGCTCGGGTCTAATGTTCTGATCCGTGGCCTCCGGGACATGGGAGAAGTGGAAGCTGGGGTCAATGCCCACAGCATCTAGGCCAGTGGTTCAGCCAGACCTCTGGGTGGCGGTGCCCGGACGTGCAGGGGCCTAAGCAAAGACGTGGGTGGCTAGGAAAGGTCGAATATTTCTCAACAGATGTCCATTTTATTTCGGGTGGGGACCCTCCCGAGCAGTGCTCAGAAGAACACACAGTTCAGGAGCTCGGCCAGAGATGCCACGGTGTCAGGGGCCTCATGCAAAGTTTGTACCTGAGCGATTTCCCTGCCCCAAACCATTTTCCCCTCCAGATGCCACTGTGAAATTTTAGCCATGCATTCATTCCATGCAGTCACCCACTCCCCATCTGAGGATCACTGCTGATAGGAAAGTGGCAGCGAGAAGCCCCCAGCACCCCTCTCTGCAAGTGCTGATGGGGGTCTTCTGTGATGCCACAGGAACTGTGATCCCTTACTTGCCAACCACATGACAGGCCCTGCGCAGACAGCCCCGCGGCTCCAACAGCAGCTCCAGGTCACAGAGCCAGGAGCGCTCCCCGCACCCAGCCTCCCCACTGCAGCCCAGGGACCTACTTGAGCCGGCTGCAGTGGTGGAGTGAGTGGCCCACGGGGTTCTGCTTGGGGGGCCTCTTCCTGCGCAACCTGCGCAAGGCCTCGGCGACACGGTGGTCCCCTGCGCACTCCCAGATGATCTGGGCGCGTTCCTCAGCCAGCTGATCCCCGCTGCGCTGAAACAGCCCCTGGATCTGCAGCAGGTCAGCATCCTGGAAGATGTTGGCTGAGGCCTGCTTGCGACCACGGGCCTCCGCCGGGGCCTGCCAAGGGGGTGGTTCGCTCACTACAGAGGCTGGGGTGCCCATCCTGGGTGCCCTGAGGAAGGAAAGCATGGAGAGATGTCAGTTCGGCAAGGCATTACCAAGACCAGGTACCTGGATGCTGCAAGGAATTCTGGGATTGCTTTTCTTTGGGAGCCAGAGTGGAGACAGTGTCCGCATCCCAGGACATGACTGGGGAGATCACCAAGTCATGATGAAGCGTTTCTGCATCTGACAAATGTGTCAGCCCACTCTGCAGATGAAACCCAACCCCGATCCACTGGATTTGCCACAGTGACAAAGCAACTTAAGAGTAGAGCCCAGGGGTTGGAGTGATAGCAAAGCGGGTAGGGCATTTGCCTTACACGTGGCCGACCCGGGTTCGATTCCCAGCATCCCATATGGTTCCCGAGCAGCACCATGAGTAATTCCTGAGTGCAGAGCCAGGAATAACCCCTGAGCATCGACAGGTGTGACCAAAAAAGAAAAAAAAAAAGAGTAGATCCCAAGAGTGTGGGTGGAGATCCCGGGTGCTGAGGACAAGGCCCATGTCTGCCACTGAGGGTATTGCACACCCCTCCCTTGCCAGGCTCTGCCAGGGCAAGCTCACGCCATGACATGTCAGCACAGCCCAGACACGCACTCCTCTACCTCGTGTCATGGATGATAGAACAGAAGCGCACCCAGAGAGCTGGCACCTGGCTCACACACAGAAGTGACAGGGAGTAGGGTTGGGCTCTCCCTTGGGAGCTCTGGCAGCAGCCTCCATGGCTACTAGCCAGGCCCCCCTCTCCCAGCCCAGCAGGGGTTGGTCGTCCCAGCCTCATCCAGTTCCCCAGGTCCAGTTCTTCAGCCTCATTCAGTTCCCCGAGGGCTCCAAACCAGAACCCAGTATTGTGTTTTACAATGGGGCAGGAACTAGACCAGCGGGGGTCTTACTCTAGCCCAAAGGCCCACCACAACAGAGGTGGGGTAAAAGAGGGGTCTGGAGGATTAGACTGAACTGCCCTGGGCAGAAGCTGAAATGTGTAAGTTTCAGTAAAAATGTCCCAATCAAGGGCCCATGCTCTGCAGCTTGCTTGGAATAATCAAGATACTCACAGTTCTTCCCCCCTCCCCACATACTCCCATGGCCCCTTCTCCAGCCTGGAGAAGCTGTGGACAGCAGGGTGAGGACGTCAGCCCTGCACAGAGCTCTGTCACCTTCCTGACTACAATCCTGGGCTCATTTCTCAGCCCCCTCTGAGCCAGCCGAATGGTAAAATTGGACAAACCTTGTCAGGACTGTCATGGGATAAAAATGTCTGGTGTGGGACCAGGCAGCAGTGAGTTAGAATCCAGGTGTCCCTCAGTGGCTGCCTCAGCGACTGTCCTTGGGGCAAGGGTGTCATGGAGATCCAGTGAGGTCCTTCATGTGTTCTAGCCATGCCTCACAGTCCAGGCTCATGGGGAAGGCCCAGGCGCTGTGTCCCTCTCTCCACAACTAGACACCCAGACACCTATTACCTGGCAGCCAGGTGAAAAGGGGAATTCAAGGTTAAAATATATTTAAATTCAAAATGCACATGCGGGGGCTAGAGCGATAGCACAGCGGGTAGGGTGTTTGCCTTCCACCCTGCCGACCCGGGTTCGATTCCCAGCATCCCATATAGTCCCCTGAGCATCACCAGGAGTAATTCCTGAGTGCAAAACCAGGAGTGACCCCTGTGCATCGCCAGGTGTGACCCAAAAAGCAAAAAAAAAAAAAACAAAAAAAAACCCAAAATGCACATGCGGGGCCGGAGGGAGAGAACAATATAGGAAGGGGGCTTGCCTTTCATGAGGCCAATCTGCATCGATTTCTAGCACCCTATGATGCCCTGAACCTTGGCAGGTATGATCCTTGAGCACAAAGTCTGAAGTAAGCCCCGAGCATTGCCAGATGTGATCTAAACCTCTGCCCCTCCACACCCCTCCCTCCAATAAAAGTACATGCTCTGAAAAAATGGAAAGCCTACAGAATCTTCTGGGTAAGAGAGTTGGTTAAAAAAACACTGGAGTGCTCTGCAGACAAGGAGTTCCAGGTCTAATCCCTGGCACTGCATGGGCCCTGGGAACCGCCGTGTGTGGCTCCAGAACCCAAGAAAAGAAGCATGACCAATTTCCTGTCAGCCTCTTGCAGAAGTCCCCTTACTCTGTCTTTTGTTCTGTCATTTTGCCATTCCTCCTTTGCCCTGGCCTTCCCTCATCCTTACAGTCACGACTCCTTAGTCTAGTACTGTCCATCTCACTCTGTCCCAGTTCCCACATCACCTATCTGGCCCCGAGGGAGAACACAGTGTGTAGGGAGCTTGCCTTGAGGGCAGCCAACCCAGATTGTATCCCTCACACCCAACATGGTCCCTGGGGCATCACAAAGAGTGATCGCTGAGTGCAGAACCAAAAGTAAACCCTGAGAGGGGCTGCAGCAATAGTGCAGCGGGTGGGGTGTTTGCCTTGCACACAGTCGACCTGGGTTCAATTCCCCAGCATCACATATGGTCTCTCCAACACCGCCAGGAGTGATTGCTGAGTGCAGAGCCAGGAGCAACCCCTGAGCATCGCCAGGTGTGACCCAAAAAGCAAAAAAAATTTAAATTTTACAAATTTTAAAAAAAGAAGTAAACCCTGAGCATATCTAGGTGTGACTCTAAAACAACAACAACAAAACACCTAAATCTTCTATCATAAGGACCCACACACACCCTTTCAAAAAATTTAGTAACAAATATAAAGTTCGCAGATAAATAATGTTCAGATAAATTAGCTTCATAAAAAGGGTGGTCTTGGGGCTGGAGTGATAGCACAGCGGGTAGGGTGTTTGCCGTGCACGCAGCCGACCCGGGTTCGATTCCCAGCATCCCATATGGTCCCCTGAGCACCGCCAGGAGTAATTCCTGAGTGCGAGCCAGGAGTAACCTCTGTGCATTGCCAAGTCTTGAGCCAGATAAAGATAGTACAGGGGTAAGGTGCTTTCTTTTGCATGAAGTCAAACAGGTTTTATTCCCAACACCACATATGGTCCCCAGTCCCACCAGCAGTGATCTCTGAGCACAGAGCTAGGAGTAAGCCCCGAACACAAGTCCCACACCCCCAACCCCACTCCCCAAACCACGGCTGCTGCTGCCACCAAATGATACTCTTTTATCTGGAAAATGGGAACTAACAAACCTGCTTCTCCTTAAGCACTGTTCTGGGAATCCAGTTCAAACCTATAATGAGTGATAATGCAATCTCTTGAGCTGGATGACAGGTACCAGAGAAAACAGCCACCACCAAGTCACACGTAATACAAGCTACCTGGGGTACTAACACAGCCGGCACCATGCATCACACTGATTTATCTTGAAGATCTTCTCAGCCCTCTCCATCTTCAAACACTTCGCAGGCACTAAGGCACAGTGATCCTCGTCCCAGCCCAGAGGAGACGGGAAAGAAGCTGCGATACGGCTGTGAAGTGGCTCAGCCAGGCTAAAGACGGCGGTGCCTTCACGCCACTGTGCTTTGCTGGGAGGTGACGCCACTATCCCCACCTCACTCACTAAGGGGGAAATCCGTCCAAGAGAGGGAAGAACCACAAGGGACCCTCCCTCCCCCACCAGAGACTGCCCTGGGAAAATGGGATTTTTTTTCCTTTTCATCTTTGAAGAGGGTCATGCCTGGCTGTGCTTGTGGGCTCAGGACCAGCTCAGTGCTGGCTCAGGACCACATGGTGTTGGGGACGGAACCCAAAGCGCCTGCTTGTAAAGCAGAGCTGTCAGCTTTACACTCCACACTGCTGAGCTATCTCTGGCCCGAGGGAACGGACCCACTTTTGTTTCTGTTTTCTTTTTGCTAGCAACAGGGCTGTTTTCTGAGCAACAGGCTGCCCCAGAGCCTTGAGCACATGGCAGTAAAGAGGAAGTGGCCTGGTGTCCACCATGAAATCTGGATCCTCAGCCCGGACACAGAGCAGGCTTCTGAGTCAGAGGACCGGGCGTGGGGTTCTCCGTCCGACTCACTCACCAAGAGGGTCCCAGGCACTGCCCTGGCCTTTGGGAGTTGGGGAGAAGCAGGTGCACATTCTCTTCCTTGGTAAGAAGAACAAGTGGATGATGATGGTCCCTCAGGCAAGCATCAGTGGTTCTGAAAGGAGGCATCAAGGGTGGGTTTGCTTGTCTGTCAGTGCAGGCCACGTGGCCCATTCGTTGTCAGGAAACTCCCTAACCATCGCTTCCCTTCTTCAAGGCCAGACTGTTTTGGTACTGTGGGCTGGAGGGAGCCAGAATTCAGTGCTTTCGGACACTGCAGTGATGAAGGTGGGCTCTAGCCAGTCCTGAGGTAGATTCACAGGTTTGTCTGGGGCGCTGTCCCTTCTCACCCTGCCCTCGGGAAGCAGGGCGGACTCCAGCACAGCAGCCAAGGCCCTGGAGAGGAAATGGCTGGGAGCCTGACTTCCCCCTCATCCCAGCCCCTCTGCCAGGCCTGCCAGACTCGCCTTCGGTTTGGGTGAATGACAGGAAGCAAGAAGGCACCACAAAAAACTGTCGACAAGAGTCTGAGACACCTACCTCACTCAGACTCTCCATGAGCCATCAGAAGGCCTTGGCACCCTAAATTCTGAGGCCCTTGGGTGTTTTTTTTTTTTTTTTTTTTTTTTTGGTCATGATGGTGGTGGCGGTAGGAACCTTCGGCTCACTCCTGGAAGGATTGGGGAATCATATGGGTTGCTGGGATTGAACCCAGGCGGCCATGTGCAAGGCAAGTGCCCTACCCACCGTACTATCCCTCCAGCCCCAACGAGGCCTTTGTTCTTGGCTCTCTGCCCAGCTTGGGAGTCAGACAGCAGAGTGAGGCTTCAAAAAAAAACTGCATTTCACAGAGGATTAGGTGGTGAACCTTTGAAGACCCTGAATCAGAAGGCTTATTATTGGTCACCTTGCCCATCTCATTGTGCGCAACTCATTCATCCTCATTCATCGCTTTCCCCCTCATTTCCCGGAGAGGACCCGAATCCCGGGAAGCCAGAGTACACTCGAACAATGGCACTTTTTAAAACTGAAAAACGAAACCACCCAGCTATTAAAAGATTACAAACGGCTCTCCCTGCAGAGCTGATACAAATGAAGATAAGCGTGGTTCTATGGGCGAATGAGAAAAGGCTAATTACGAAACACTTCAACTTGACACAAATCAGGTTAAAAAAACAAACCTCTAAAGTAAACACCAAAACGTTGGAGATGTCAAAGTTCAACTTGTTTCAGAGCAAGGCAGTCCACCAGCTCTGGAACTCTAAAGACTGACCAAGGACAGAATCTGCAGTGGAGAAAGGGTGTGGGGTCAAGGGCTCCTGGTGATTTATGAGGCTTGGCCTGGCCACTTCCAGAGATGCAGGACTCCTGGGGGCTGCGGGGCCCAGCTCCTAAGTTAACACACTCCCCTCATGAGAAGTAAGTGGCAGTAAGTATCTCTGAAATGAGAGGCTGAGAACTCTGGGACCTGGCCCAAATCAGCACAGGGCCTCGGCCTGTTTCCGTACCCAGGAATGCCCCTGGATGAGACGCTCCTGAGGGACAGTCCCCTGGACAAACAGCAGAGCCAGTGTCCCCCCCCCCCCCACACACACACACACACACACCTCCACTGTGGTTTCCACCAGGCGAGCTTGGGACCAACAGGCAGGAGGTGGCCTCCAACTCTGTGTCCAGGAGGTGGAGCAAGGCCATGGGGCACTTCCTCCAAAACCAATTCTTAAATACCACGTGGGCTCCTACTGCCTCTGGTGCTGGGAACCACTCCTCAAGCAGACCTTTGCTGTATCCCTGATAACTGGGTGGCCTTGGCAAGCCTCAGTTTCCCCTTCCTGAGTTTGCTCATCATCAACATGGTGAACATAAGACAATGTCAGAAGACAAGGGAGAGTGCAGATGGGAAAGCACCATTCCAGATCCTTTCCATTCCGAGTGACCACCAGTCAGAAACTCCTTCAAAAGGGCTTTTTTTTTTTTAAGGTCTCACGGCTCTCCGGAGAAGAGGGGACCCGGCGGGAGCCCAGGGGGGGGAGGGGGGGTGCGGTGTGTCTTACATCATCCTGCCCGTGGAGGCAGCTTCCTGGGATTCAAAGGGGGAAATCTTCGTCATCCTCAGGGCCACCCCCCTCCCCCCACAAGAAAGCACGTCGCAACAGTTGCAATCAGCGCGCAGAGAAACTTGCCCCAAGTTACCTCGGGGATGGCGATGAGGCTGGGAAGGGGACCCCAGGGGTCTGACCCTAGCACCCCAGCACCCACGCGTCCCACCGCGGTTATTTTTGTCCCTTCCAGATGGTTGATGAGGTCTTGGCGTGGGGGAGGGGGGGTGGGGGGGCGCGGGAGGGAGAAAGAGAGAGAGGAAGGAAGGAAGGACCCAGACGGCTCGGAAACCTCGCACTCAAAACCTGCGTGTTTTTTGTTTTCTGTTTTTTTGTCTCTTTTGCTTCCACGGTTTTAGAACGGAGGGCTGGAACGTCAGCCTCCCCCGAGCCTGCGTCGGCGCCCTGGGTCCTCACTCCCCCAGCACGGCGGGGAGTCGGGGCGATTACTCACCGCGCGCAAGGGCAGCAAGGCAGACCGCAGGTCCGGACGGGGCCAGCTGCGCCGCGTCCCCCACGGGGCCAGCAGCCCTTTCCCAAAGGCGGGCGACAGCGCGGGGCTTCCCGCACCCCCCCCGCCGCAGGGGGTCACCAGGGCCAGCCGGCGTTCGCGAACCGGTCGTGGGCTTGGAAGCGGGTAATGCTGGCCGAGGTCACCCACCGGGCGACCAGCCCAGCGCAAGCCGGTCCCTGCAGGGCACGCAACGCCCGGCGGCGTCCAGGGGGCTCCGGAGCGGCAGGTCCCAGCACCCGCCCGGCCGCCCGGCCGTTGCCACCGCCCGCGAGCTTGCTCGAGGACCTACGTACCTCGCTGCCGCGGCCAGCCACTCGGGTCACCGCCGCGGCTCCCCGGAGAGAGCGCTCGGCGGCCGCGGAACCGCCAATCCCCGGCCGCGCTCCGGGCGAGCTCGGGTGCGAGCCTTCCAAAACTCGAACGCGGAGACGCCGCCAGCCAATCAGCGGCCGCACAGCCGCGAGGGGCGTGTCGGGGCTCCGCCCCCTTCCCTCCGCCGCCTCGAAACCCGAGTGCGGAGATGAGCCGCGTCCAATCAGCGGACGAGCAGCGGCGAGTGGGCGTGTCCTCCCGAGCCGGCTGCCCCCGCCCCGAGCCACCCTCGCGTCGCGCCCCGAGGCGCCCCCTTCATTGACGTCAGTGCCCAGGAGAGCGCGGTTTTGCTGGCGCTGGAGCCGGGCGGGGCCGCATTCCTGCCAAGGGGTGCGGCCGTGGGCCCTGCTGGGTGCAAGTGACGGGTGCCCCTTCCCCTGGGCCCAAGGCCAGTGAGCGCAGCGCGCAACCCCGCGCGCAGCTCTCTGCAAATAGCCCCGCCGCTCGCAGATCACTTGCTCCCAAGAGGCGGCTTTGACCGAGGGGAACTGAGTGGTCGGTCTCAGATCTTGGGCTCCAGAGCTAGAATAGGTGGGTTCGAGTCTTGGGTCAGCTCTACCGCCTGATGAAGTTGCAAGGAGCCAGTTACCTAAAATGACATAATATTGCAAAGATTTTATTCATTCCTCATGCGGCGGTTTTATTAAGTACCCACCAGGTTGGAGTACCCTTGGCTTGGAAGGGGCAAACACCGAAAATCCTGAAACACTTGTGATTACAGTCGTGATTAAGTTCATATCGTAGCTGTTCATGTTTCCAGAGATCCTAAAGGCAGGATTTTTAAAATTAAATAAAATTTTATTTTAAAAATTTTAATTAAAAAAATTTTTTTAACAAATGGGAACTCTCACCTGTGGTGGTGGGGGGAGGCGGGTGCCAGAGCTACACCTGGTGGTGCTCCCAGGGGCCATGCGGTGCTGCGATCTAACTCAGGGTTGGGCATACAATGTGCTCCTTCCTGCTGCGTTATCTCCCTGACTCAAGAAATCACAGTATTTAAGTTGAGATATGAAGGAGGGCCTGGAAAGCATGTTTAAGGAAGAGAGAGTGACATGAGGGTGGTCTGACTCAGTGAGGCCTGGAGTAAGGCTGGCAAGGGAGAGGGTGGTGGGAAGCAGAAGGCAAAGGCGGCCGTGATGAAATTTCCACAGGATCCTCTGAGGAAATAGCAGTGGCTATTTTTTTGTTGTTTTTTTTGTTTTTTTTCTTTAGATACTGGGAATTGAACCCAGAGCCTTTTTTTTTCTCTTTGAGTCACACACCCAGCAATACTCAGGGGTTACTCCTGGCTCTTCACTCAGAAATTACTTCTGGCAGTGCTCTGGGGAACCATATGGGACGCTGGGGATGGAACTCAGGAGGGCTGCATGCAAGGCAAACACTCTGTTGCACTATTGCTCCAGCCTGAATCCAGAGTCTTATACATGCAAAACATGCCCTTTACCACTGAGCCACATCTCTAGCCTATATGTAATTATTTACTAGACATTTTATAACACTTATTATATGCCAATATCACCATCAGATCTTTACAATGACTTCATCTCGTCCTCACAAATTTGTGTTTGCAAAAGGTCACAGTCCAGCCATGCTATGGAACTTGATTGGAGACCAGGGATGTGTGCAGTGCGTCCAGTAGGCTCTTGGTAAATTATTTTGCTTGTTTGTTTGTTACTTAGACGGTGAACTGGCTCAAAATGGCCAGGAAGGGGTTGGAGAGATGGCTGAAAGAGCTGAGGGCATGCTCTGCATGGGAAAGGGTTAGGGAGTAACCTCCAGCACTGCCAGGATGGACGCATCCTAAACCTCCAGTGGCCAGAAAGGATGCCTGGTTCCATGCAGCTAGGTCTCCCTGATTACTCGTTCATTTCAAGACTGGCTGTCAGTAGTATGTAAATCAGATTTCTCTTCTGTAACAGATCTGAGGGGAAAGGGTAAGAGGCAGTACACGGGGACTTGAGAAGCTCTTTTTGCAAGCTGGAGATGTTGAGGAGCTGTCCTTTATACCCTCACCTTCAGTTAGTTCCTCTCTCTGTCCTGCACAAAAGGCATTTGGTCAGAGGATTGGAGAGACAGTGGTGGCAGCGGTAGCAGTGGTGGGAGTGCTGTATGTAGGCAGTTTAAGATGCTCGTTTTGCACATGGTCGAGCTAGGTTCGATCCTAGGCACCATGTATGGCCCCGTGATCCTCGTGCACAGAGCCAGGAGCCGTGAGAACCACTGGGTGGCACCCCAATAAAGGTAAAGGCCCTCCCGTTGATCGTCGATTTGCTCGAGCGGGCCCAGTAACGTCTCCATTGGAGACTCTGTTGTTACTGTGTCTGGCATATCGAATACTCTCGGTAGCTTGCCGGGCACCCCAATAACAAAGACAAAATTAACTACCTCGTCAGTGCTTGGCTGTCATTGAAAGGGCTTTGACGTGGTCTCACTTTGCTTTTTTTGTCCTGAATTCCTATGGGAAATCTTGAAAAGAAATAAGCAATGCGTAACTCCAGTGGAGGGTATTGTTGTAAAGTCTGTCAATCATCTGCTAGGCTCAGGGAGGGCCTTTGCAAGATGCCTAAGCGGGGAGGCTGGATGTCTGGCCCGCAGATTCCTCCTGCCCGTTCCAAATAAGAGGAAGCCGGACTGGGCATGTCCGTGCTTGGAGATCTGAGGAATTCTGATGTCGTGAGCTCAGAAGGGCACACCAGGGTAGGATTCACCGCCCCAGAAGCACAAGGAGCTCTGGGTGAGGTGTGAGTAAGACTGGGTGGAAAATATCTGGTGTCTCCAAACATTTGTGCAAGCATGTGACCATGTGCTTACCACACAATGGGCTTGTGTTGCTATTGTTACAGTTCCAGGATTCACAACATCTGATGGAGCACTTCCACAGTTCTCTGGGGGTATAATGGCATCATGTGGCATATGGATTCCTCTCCCTCCCACCCAGCCCCCAAACAGGGCCCACCTTGGGGAAGGTCAACTCTGGGGAATAGAGCCCTAGTATAAATCACACCAAGACCTGGTTTAACCAAGGGGAGATGAGAACAACCCTTGTTTGCAAAATGTAAACCCACAATTCTGTAGTCAAGATAAATATCTAGGGGTTGGAGTGATAGAACAGCAGGTAGGGCGTTTGTCTTGCAGGTGGCTGACCTGGGTTCGATTCCCTGCATTCCATATGGTCCCCTGAGCACCGCCAGGAGTAATTCCTGAGTGCAGAGCCAGGAGTAACTCCTGTGCATTGCCAGGTGTGACCCAAAAAGAAAAAAAAAATCTAGATGTAATTTTGTCTGTCTATTTGTTTCTTTGTCACACTCAGCAATGCTCAGGGGTTACTCCTGGCTCTCCATTCAGGTATCACTCCTCGTGGTACCCACGGGACCATATGGGATGCCGAGGATTGAACTAGGATTGGTTGTATGTACTATTGCTCTGATTGTTGAGCTTTTCCTTTCTCCCCACCCCCCACTTTTTTTTTTAATAACGGCGACCACTTCTGGTGGTGCTTGGGCCAAGTGGTGTCAGAAATCAAAATTGGGGCCTTGTATATGCCAGGTACATGCTAATACTTGAGCTTTGTCCAGTTGCATACCTTTTCTCCATTTTTCCACCTGTCTCCAAATTTGGAAAGATATTTTATTTTTTAATTTTTTTTGATGCTGATGGTTTTAATTATGAAGAAAAAAGACAATTCCTGAAGTTTACTTTCTTTTTTTTTTTCTTTTTGGGTCACACCCGGTGATGCTCAGGGGTTATTCCTGGCTCATGCACTCAGGACTCATTCCTAGCGGTGCTCAGGGGACCATATGGGATGCTGGGAATCAAACTCGGGTCGGCTGCGTGCAAGGCAAACGCCCTACCCGCTGTGCTATTGCTCCAGCCCCTACATATTTTAATAATTTTTTACTGTATTGTAGAAAGGAATTGTGGGTAACTATTTATTAGTCTTATAAACCTTTCATTTGGAAAGATATTTTAATAAGTGCACATGGGTTGCACATTTTTCATTATGTCCCAGGCTTCAGCATGGCTCAGAAGGTGCTGGTAAAAACTTAAAAAAAGGAAGTAGAATGTAGATAAGGGATTCCAGAGATTCAAACTTAGACAAATGGCTTCACCTCTCTGCCTATTTTCCTACCTATGCAATGGGAATAACCATAGCCACCTTTCAGCAAGAGTTTGAAGATGGAAGTTGCCGCAGGCCATCCTAGAGACTCAAAGCCAGCACAGGACTCCTCCCTCTCCCTCTCCCTCTCCCTCTCCCTCCTCTCCCTCTCCCTCTCCCTCTCCCTCTCCCTCTCCCTCTCCCTCCTCTCCCTCTCCCTCTCCCTCTCCCTCCTCTCCCTCTCCCTCTCCCTCTCCCTCTCCCTCTCCCTCCCCCTCCTCTCCCTCTCCCTCTCCCTCTCCCTCTCCCTCCTCTCCCTCTCCCTCTCCCTCTCCCCCTCCCCCTCCCTCTCTCTCTCTCAGCTCCGGCTGGAAACAGTCAAGCAGCTGACAGTTACACAGATGGGGCAAGTCTGGGTTTTGTTCCCTGGGTCTGTTCTTGCTGTCTGTCTAGTTCTGGGGACAGCAGACAGCAGAGAGAACTCAGATTCAACTGACAAACAGCAGTGCAAGGTTGGGGCCACTCCACTGTTTTTGATGAATGGTTTTGATCATTCTTAACTTAAAAAAGCAAAATAAAACAAGACAAAAGAAATCTTCTGCTAA